CTTCCTCTTGACCCATATACTGTTCCTTCACATATTTCTTTTGCAATTCAATCCTCATTCATTCTCTCTAAATGACCCAATTACCTCAACATATTTTCTTCATTTTTGTAGATAGTCCACATTTTTAGATCAATTTTATGAAACCAGATCATCTGTATAAAAATATTTGGAAATGTTCCCTGTTTCCCTGCCAAGAAATCTTATCAGTCTGCTGTAATGGGATTTTACTTGAGTTTTACTCTTTTTTAACAGCTATGAAATTTATACCACTGGTGTCTGTCTCTCTATGTAAAAATTTCAGGATGAATCTTTCAGCTCCTTATTTGTTTTCTTCTAAGGAGATAGAAATGTTAATCTGTTGCAGCAGAAACATCTTAAAGACTAAAGGCATTTTGGCATCTGTTTTCATAAAGCAATGCTGCTCCAGTCATTTTTTTTTTAAAAAAACTTGCTAGTTATATCTCAACCTTTAAAAAACAAACCCTCCAGAAAGGGGGAGGGGAGCTGAAAAAATGTGGCCTTGCTCCTGTTCCTTTGCTATGTGACTGGGTGTGCAGCCTACAACCACTGGAGGCCAAAATAATACCATAACAATAGGTACAATCCTCAGACTAACAAGTTGTCACCCCGATGTATGGATTTACCAACACATTTCATCATTAGAACTCTTCATAAAAGACAACTGGGGAATACTTAGAATATGGTTTCCCATTTTATTTGTTCTAGAAAATCTGAACAACTCAATCATCTAAATGTATTTTTCTCTCTCTCTCTCTGTGTGTGTGTGTGTGTGTGTATGCATATGTTGTATGTGTATATTCTGCAATGCCTTTTCTCTTATTTTTCCCAAGAATATTTTTGTTCAAACTTTGCTTGATAGTCTAGCTTTTGTTTTAAAGGTAGCCATTCTAATACTGTTTTTTTTTTAATAGCATACTGCTTTGCTTACATTAACTATTTTCCCATGAGTATTTAAAAGCTATTATCTTAAAGACCTTAATTATACATATCTCAGGGTAACAGTCTTCAAATTACTGATTCCAGAGCAGTCTCTGCAGACAATAGCAGAACCTCCATGAAAAAGAGCTTCAAGGGATTTAAATATGGGAGTCGGGATATGCTTAAAAAAGGATGGACAGCCTTTTTTCTAGGCTGTGAAAGAGCACCCAGCATGAAGGAAACAATGCTGTTCTGTTGAGCTTGTCTCAAACTACATACTTCTGGTTCATGATGAAGTAGCAGTTACACCTTTTAGAGTTTTATAAAATGCCTATACTTTTCACTGTGATTCAAATCCACTTGTTAGGGACTGATTTTTTTTTTTTTTTCCAAATTAAGATTTAGTAAAACTGAGAAAAAACTCGTAACTCAAATCTGGAAGCTTATTTATTGAAGGTAGGAGTGGGGTATTGTGGGGTGATAATTAATAAAAGACTACTAAATCTACAACAAATAGTACTTTTTTATTATTGTATAGCACTTTGCAGATAGCTGACACCTTATTAGTAATAGATTATTATAATACAAGGATCAGTGGCAATTGATATGTGTGATTGTGGGTGAGTAAAGGGTAGTTATAATCTAATAACCAGTTTTGTTGAATAACTAGATTACTAAACAGAGTCTAGGGATATATTATGATTCTAACAATTTCTGTTTAGAGAGTGGCTCCTCTATTTAGTAATGGCAATGTAATACTTTTCAAACTACAAGTGTCTACAGATATATTTCCCTGGTGATTCTCTAATATTGCCTTTTCTTTTTTTAGAGTCCTCGTCTTTTCTTATCTTTTTTACAGCAGAGAAAACAGTTAAAAATTCTTTTATATAACTCTTTCCAGGCTGTACTTGGTCCTTGAGTGGGGCTGTACTCCAAAACACTGGAGGTGGGACCAGGCCAGAAACTAAATCTGATTTGATTGCATTTACCTTTAAATTTAATTAATTTAAATTTTGTTAAAATTATAGTTAATATAATTGCTATATGTCATGTCTTTTACAATTCTCTCTTTCTGTGAAATTACAAATTACAATTTGGGAACAACTTTTGGAATTCTTGGCGAGTGGCATGGTTCCATGGGGAATCTGCCTAAACAATCCAGGCAGAGAAAAATTGTTAGAAATGACCTGAGTAAAACAAAGTATTCTGTTCCCCTTGTGATTAGTTCAGTCAGCCAGAAATAATTATATGGAGACATTTAATATGGTATGCCTAAATAATATGCAAACATTGATGCAGATCCAGTCAAAGATGCATAATTAAATTAGGATGAGATTTGTGTTATCAAATATTGAAAATCCCTCATAGGTTCATTGATTTGGAAAATTAGTGAATCCTCTTAAATGATTCACTAATGATGAAGGACACTGTTTCTGATTTGTTTGCTTTTTTTTTTTTAAAAAAGGCCCCTGATTGCATGTTGGGTTTAGCTCTGATCATTAAGCTATTACATAGTGAGAACAAAAATGGACAAGTTGATAAAGGATACTTCTGCCTCATATCACCTTTAGAAAATAGCTGAATCTGAAATTATTCATATAGAATTCACATGCATATATATTGAGTCTATATTTCAGGATAGACAAATAAATTTATTTTCACTCTGTGACACTCACACATGCCCAAGCATAAGTCCACGTGGTCCTTTATGCATCCATCTATGGCATGAGTCCTTTGGGGATTTCTGCTTTGTCTCTAACCTCAGGAGGCGAAATACAATACAGCACCCTAGTATTTGGGATGCTGTACCAAAGTCCATAATTTCACCTTAGTCAATTCATTGTTTTCATACTTTGTCTTAATTTTTATTCTGCATTATACAAAATTAAAGACACATAACACCTGTCTTAGCTATTGGATCAACATGAGAAAAAAATAAGTACCTGCATGTGTAATGACAAGGGTTAGAAGAACACTTTGACCAATCTTATTAAATGAGTCCCTGGAAGGTAAATTATATACAGCAGAAGCAATTTATAGCATGAAAATTTGCTGGGATTGAAGTTAACTGATGGTTTGAATAATGTTAAAAATTAATATCACTGTAGAACAATTTTCAGGCAGTGTAGCCCTGAGTTCAATGTGACTAGATGAGACTAAGACTGCTTTTTCAGTGAAGTTTCAACTTTTTAAAAGTAAGCCAAGTTTTCATTTCCATTTCTTTACTATTTGAAATTACTTGTTCTCTTTGCTTTCATTGCTGTGGTAAACACTGTTTATCATGCCATTTTTTTCATCAATGTCTGATCAATTCCTCCTTCATCCTGAATTGAAGTGCATATTGTACTGTATGATTCTCTTACAGGCAAGCTTTTTAAATCTAAACTTAGGCAGGAAAGTAGTTTCCATCCATCAGAGCTGTGTTCATAACACTTTGGAATATTTTACTTCAATGTGTTAAGTTTTTGAAATATCTACAATTTATCATTTCTTCTAGTTTAACTTTAGAGTGGGCAGATGGTAATAAAGCAGATGGCTTATAAGCAAAGTTCCCAGGTAAGGCTAAGAAAATATCCTGTGCAAAACCCTAGAGAGCTATCGCCAGTAATTGTCAACTATGCTGGTAGATGGAAAAATGGACTGAAGCAGCTTCTTTCCTATAATCTGCCTGCTCTAATAGGTCAAACAGGGTGGGCATGGTCCAGGTCTTTTCCCTTAAATGGTGCCATCTAGTAGGACTAGGAAGCATGCCTTTTCCATAGCAGCCCTTGCCTTAAGGGGACACCCCCTCTCCCTGGATCTGGCAGACCCCCGTCCTTTTATTCTTCTGGAAAGTTGTAAAGGGCTGGCTTTTCCCCAGAGTGTTGGGATAGGGTGAGGTTGGGATTCTACTGTTAGATAGAACAGAGAATAAGGGTTGAGGTGTTAGGTTTTTGATTTTACTGTCTTTTGGTTTTTATGGTATTATTATTGTGAGTTGCCCAGAAGAGTTGTGTTTCATAAGATAGGCAGCCATATACATTTAATAAATAAATAAACAAATAAACAAATGAGTCATTTTGGATTTTATGTTAACTCACAACTAGGTTTATACCACACTTAAACATATGTGCAAGAGCAAAGGACCATATTCACATCTTTCTTCCAATATTTCTGTCCCATTTACTCTCTCCCAAGCTTTCATCACTAAGTGGGGAGATCAGGTTGTATCATACTTGGGTTTGTCAGAGTTATTGTAGGAAGTCTTTTAAATGTTTCAACTAAAGCTGAATAGAGGTCCATTTCAAATCTTCCTACCCACTGAAGGAAAACTGAAATTAGAGAGGGCCAGACAAGGCATTCTGGGACTCTGAAGGTGGGCATAATCTGTGCAAAGGTTGTGCCTTCTTCATGGAACTTTCCTTTACAGTGTTAACATCTAAACAGTTAGTTGATTTCCTTTCATTATACATATCATTTGACAGATGAGTGGAAGCAAAGAGAAGTTTAACGTAACTTCAAAGATCTGACAAACTATTTTATAAGAACAATACAGCAATTTTGAAAGTTTATTTCTCTTCTATGATTTTCTCTGGAAGATAAAACTTATGAATAACTATAATATAATGGCCATTAAAAAAAAAATCCCAAATCAACCTCAGGTATTGTTTTAGACTCAAAAAATTGGATTCAGCCAATTGGATAAAATAGCAACATTCTTCTGATTTCTTTAAAATTCTTAATGGAATCTGACAAAGGATTTTGAAAATCCCAAAATGTTATCACTATTTTATGACAAAGTGTTTGGCTCTAACAAAGGTATCACCATCCTGCAGATTCTGCTACTGGCAAAATGTAGATTCAAGGGTTAAACACAATGTATTGCTGTGGCAGAAAGCCTTTTCCCCTTAGACTGTTAAAGAAGTATCCTTTCACTATGGACTGTTTGCAGCCTCAAGTCTGTATTTCACTGAAACAAAAATCCATCAAAAGACATTTTTCATAGATGTCTGAGAATTCTGTTTTCCCATTGTTAAAGATACTTCACTAATGGCAGTCTTTCCTTTCCTTTTCTGTTACAGTTATACAAGCAGAGTGGTTACAAATGGATTGAAAGCCCAGATGAATAATCCAGAACTGAAAGTCAGAGGGTTGGATCCACAGATAGTTCATTTAATTGACAAGCTGAAACATTTTAATCAGGTAAGTATTTATGTTTGGAGAACTGAAAGGGCTTTTACTCTTCTCGTGTGCCTTCTGTACTGACTCTTCTTGCTCTTCTCTTCTTCCTTTTCATACACACACATATTGGAGGGCAAACGTCTTCACTGAGGACCATATTATACTCATGAAGGCTGCTCACACTGTTCAGAACCCTTCACACAGTCTTGAAGAATGCCTATATCAGTACTGTAAGGTAACACCAAAGACTTCTGTCCTCCATCACATTTGAGGTATCACTGGTGACCTCTTATAATGGATTTTGTATTCAGCCAAATAAGAAATCTTGAACTGAACTGAACTGAACTAAAACACACAATGTGAGATACACAGTTAAATTAAGCTTATCCACATTGACTTTTCATTTTTTTAAAAAGTACATTCATTCCAGAGTATGTCTACTGACCTGCAAGTTGACATGAAGTCACAGTAAATTCCATGGCAGCCCACGAGGTTGATTGTGGCCTCATATTCCAATAGTTCTGTATTAATAACATATAGAATTCTATAGAGTTAGACTCTGTTTATGATGATTCAGTGCACTAAGATTTCAAAATATCCTCCACTAACCATATTTGGTTAGCTTGTTAAAATGGTTAAAATATCTTGTAAAGTTTTTCTGAAAGCATTTTTTTTCCTGAACAAAGGATGATCTGCCAGTAGGCATGTCAGAATCATGACGAACTTGTGCTGTCAAGTTATTCACTTGAGCTCTCAGAGCTGTGTGCAGCCATCTGCTGAGAAGTTTGGTCTGTCTCCTGGTGTTGAATGTATTATGGTTCATATTATTATTACACTGCACTAATTTGTAGACACTGTCATTCCAAATTAGCTAGAACAACCTACCATATTTAACAGAAATTGCTTTTCATTAATGTAAGCATATTTCCTTGTCCAACTTGAGAAAGTGTTGTTATAGGTTGGTAATGACAAGGTAGCAATTCTCCTCTGGTTGTTCCCTATTAGAAGGCAGGCAACTTTTAACAATTGCTGCTGGTGGTACTACATGATTCTGCTGATTCATGTAGAAAGACAGAAAAAGTATATATCCTGTAACTCATTGCTTTTGCTTTTTATTCTGGGACTTGAGGTTAGAAGTCCTTTATGCTGTGAAAAAATAAATCTCCAACCTGATGCCGCCTTGCAAATGTTGTTTATTCTTTAATCAAAAGTAATGTGTGATATGGCAAGAAGCCTTGCCATACAAAGGGACAAAGTCACCCTCACCATCAGTAAGGATGAGATAGACCCGTAGATGATAGATGATGGGAGATAAGGTTTTGAAGGAAAAAGCTTTGAGCCACACAATCTGCCCTCCACTTCCTAAATTAGAATGCTAGCTTCTACAACAATGGAGAAAAATATCCCACTATCATTTTTAAAGGACTCCTTATCCAATTTTACACATGGAATGGGAGAGGATGTCATCTTATTCTTCAGCTCAGACAGCAAAATGTCTTGGACTATCCTCGCAGGAAGAAAACATTAAGTATTCCATTAGGCTCAGCCTGCTGGGTTTCATCTTTGGTTTTTTGATCCTGGCCTTCAGCAATAGAACATAACCTGTACTTGAAAAATAGTAATTCCATGAATGGCATAACATTACATTCTGTCTTCAGTTACTCCTCCACCAAGTAAAGGTTTATTCTGTGACTTTCTACTGTCCTTAAGGGAAAACATTCCTTAAGTGATGCTCTTTCCCTAACAAACACAGCTTTGTAAAATGTGCTTGATTGCATGGATTAAAGAAAATCCTTATTATTGCCTTAAGAAGCTTTATTGTTAAGCATTACTAATTACTTCACTCATGATTTTAGTGAGCTTTTATATGAGATGAAATAATCAAAGAAGATTCTAATTTTTTTAATATGCAGTAATTTTTGTACAGATTTTTATCTTGGATTTGGATTAATTAATGAATAAAAGCTGACAGTCAAAAAATGACTAAGTTTGCAATTCTATATGCATGTTTGTTAAATTTAATTGGGCTCACTACTGAGTAGACATGTATAGGATTGTAGTATAAATCATAATATTGCAGTATTATCTTATATACCCTGAACACCTCATGGGGTGTTTACCCCCCTTTAAATGTAATAGTTTATGAAAAACTAGCTTGAATATACTTCCTTCTCTTCTTTTTAAATCTTGATATGGCAGAAATTTACAAACTAGAAACTTTCTCACTAGATCATCTGAAGTAAGTTATACTCACTCTGCTTCACTTCATCCATTCAAGAAAATTGTTAAAAGGGTTGTTAACAGTGTTCTGGCTATTGGAGGGGGAGGCATGGTGTGTGGGCAGAAGAGGCAACAAGAGGGGCAAATGACAAAAGCAGTGTTGTGCTATCATAATGCAAATACTGTCTTTTGTATGTATGGCCAGGGTAAAGTGGCCTACTGATCCTTTTAGATATCTCAGCAGCCTTTGACAACATTAACCAAAGTATCCTTCAGGATAACCTGTGAGAGTTATGGATTGGAGGTACTGTTTTAATACCACTTTTCTTTACTACTTCCTTAGTGGGCAGTTCCAGTCAATAGTAATGAGGGAAGAGAGGCTGGCTTGGTGGCCACTCCCTTGAGCAATGTTGCAGGATTGGGGCCTGGCAAAGGAATAATTAAGTTTGAAAATGGGCTGGATTTTGACAGGAGCTTTAGAGAATGGAATGTGAGGAAGAATATTCTTAGCTATTTCCTTCTCCTTCTAGCTGCCATATTCCCAACTGCACCTGAATATTAGGGTTCTTTCTGGAATGCAGGAAGGGGCATGAGTTTTGCAAAGGAGAATTGGAGAGAGGGGGTATCACATACTGCTTCCTTCACAGCTCCATTAATAGAAATCTGCCATAAAACTGTATAGACATGTCCATGAAATCACTCAGAGTAGAGCTGAAATCAAAGGATGTTCTACCTTTTAATATGTGTAGTTAATATATTTTATTATTGATGTCTGCTGAAATAATTATCATTATCTCCACAATGACAATAAGTTTAAATTATTTAAAACTGTACTGTCTTTACATGAAAACCAAAGGCATATACTTCCAAGTTGCAGATCCCAGGGACATTTTTTATGGATGTTTTGTGTTGAGCCATATTGTGCTCAATTAATGAATTGATTGGTAATAAATATGCAATTCATCTGTATCACCATATCAAGAAATACTAAACACAATCCTGAGTATGCTTACTTAAACATTAGTATACCCAAAAAATGTGTAGTCTTAAGTCTTTGCCCTACTTTAAAATATAGCCCATTCTACATCATCAGAACTTACCAGCTGAGTTTAGCCTAGGAGAAGAAATCCACAAACACCATTATTTGATTCTCTCCAATGTGAGATCTAAGTATCCTTGTCCTAGTCCTAAAAAGTAGTAAAAGGGCTAGCTACGGTTGACAATGTGTTTATGTTGCTTATAAATATTGATGGACCTCTGTTCCAAAAATATGTTACAAGGCCACCAAAATTTCAAGGTATTGTGAGAGAATGCCAAAATCTTAGACCTGGGTGATGTCACACATGAGATTTCAGAGACTTGGGCAGAGGATTACAGAGCTGCATCTGGGGCAGAAAATGTAGTTAACCCCTATCCCCTGTCATTTTAGCACTATAGGAACAGTTTGCAGTTTTAACTTTCATTGTATTGGTCCATGTTTTTAAACTGCAAATTGGGTAGATTGCATTAAAATGTAATTGAGTATCTTCCTCTCATCCCTATTTTTGTGCTACACTTTCATGTAATGGGAACATAGGAAACTGCCTTATACAAAATCATATCATTTTTCCATAGAGCCCTGGTTTGTCCCTTATGATAAGTGGTTTCTTGAAATTTCAGGTAGAGAGATATGGACTAGCTCTTTTTAAAGCGAAGATGGCCAAAGTGCAATTAGTTGTACTCTGTCACTGAACTTTAGCACCTTCCCAAAATCTAGTGCCTTTGGAAGGACACAGTGGCCTGAAATGTTATTCAACCTCAATTTTCTGTTCCCGCCTAGCCTTTATTTATTGAGATTTAACTAGATGTAGCACCTGTGGCTTAGCTTGCTCCTAGACAAGCATTTTACATCCCACAAAGGGTGATTCAGTTGTTTGGGAGATTTTGGGTGAAGAGACACACTCAGAGCACCCAGATTTGTACTAAATCAAGTAAGAAAACCAAGGTGGAGATATGAGCATGTTGTTTTCCTACGTAAGTAATATTTCTGGAAACTCTGTCATTCCTTAATTTAACATCTGGTATGAAATGTATTTAGTGCCTTCTAGTGCTGTCAGTGGGTTTTTGATGTAGTTCAAACTACATATTTTCTGTTTGTTTTGTAAAAAAAATAGCAACTTCAGCTATAATTAAACTAAAGATTACTAATGGGCTTCAGAGTTAAAAACAGAAGGAAGATTTTACCCCAGATACACATTCTGTAAAACATTGTCTCATTTAAACACAAATACAACATTTTAAAAGAAAATATATATACAAGTTCGTCATCTCTTTTTATTATGTGCTAGCAAACATATAACCCTGAGAAACTGCTTATTATTCATGTGCTGTTTCTCTGGGTATACAGGTATCATTCCTCTTGCAAGCCCTTTCAAGAATTATTTGCCCAGATGGCCTATTGTATACATTTTATATAGGCCTTTCTGTGTTGATAATGCTTCATTAGGAAAAAAACTAATCATAATAAATCAGAATGCTATATTGAATCATAATGATAGAATCAAATAGAAGCATACATACTGAAAGTATAATGTAGGAATAATTAAAATGAAAAAAATATTTTTGTAAAAGGCATCTTCCATAAGGAATATATAGATCTGTCTAATGTGAACTCCCAGGGTTTTATATATAATTCTATTCCGTTTATTCTTTTTATGTTTTTATTGTCTGCTGTAAAATTTGGGTTTGTGATTGCATGTTACTTTTTTAAAATGCTACCAATATTAGACACTTTTCATATGCAATTTTAGCAGATTATTTAT